GAAAGAAATAACTCTGTCTGCAAAATAATGGCACAACAACCAGTATGGAAAACATGGAGAAATAACTTGGTATTTAATTAAGAAATTATTGTTGAATAAATATAATGTATATGACATATCAACTTAACTTTCTTTTCCAGGTATATTCTTACTAGTGAAGCCACTCATGATGCCACTGTTGAATATCTAAACAAATGTAGTTACTTTGGTTTAAAAGAAAAAAATGTCAAGACTTTTAAACAGGGTATGCTGCCATGTTTTACATTTGATGGAAAAATTATTTTGGATGCAAAGCATCGTGTTTCCAAGGCTCCTGATGGAAATGGAGGATTATATCGTGCATTGAAAAATCAAGGAATATTGGATGATATGGTACAACGTGGTATTCGGAGTATTCATGTACATTCCGTGGATAACATCTTGGTAAAAGTGGCAGATCCTATATTTATAGGATACTGCTTGCTGTCTAATACTGACTGTGGGGTTAAAGTTATCAAAAAATCTTCTCCTTCTGAAGCGGTTGGTGTCGTTTGCAAGGTACGTTTTTTTATGATAGAAATTAAATGTATGCACAAATGTATATGATATTTATATAATTTTATGTATCTCAAACATTTTTTACAATTCATCTTATTTTTATTTTGATTAATGACTTCAGGTGGAAGATCATTATCAAGTGGTCGAATACAGTGAAATAACAAAAGAGACTGCGGAGCTTCGACACGCCAATGGACAACTGGTATACAATGCTGCTAACATATGCAATCACTATTTTACAGTCGATTTTTTAAAGAACGTGGGATACTTTAACGAGAAAGATTTGATACTACATGTGGCGAAGAAGAAAATTCCATATGTTAATGATGAAGGAGAAAGAATTATTCCAAAAACTCCAAATGGGATCAAAATCGAGAAATTTGTGTTTGATGTGTTTCCTTTTGCAAAAAATTTCGCGGTTTGGCAGGGAATTCGTGAGGAGGAATTCAGTCCGCTGAAAAATTCGAGTTCCGCTGATCAAGATTGCCCAAGCACTGCTCGTGCCGATTTACTTAATTTACATAAAAAATGGTTGTTGGAGGCAGGCGCCAAAGATGTCGGCGACAATGTCGAGATTTCGCCTTTACTTTCGTACGCGGGAGAAAATCTGTGCCAAATCGTCAACAACCGATCTTTTGCGGGACCACAAGTTCTCGAATAAGAGGAATGCATACGAAAAAGATTCCATCAATTTATAATACGACATTGATATTTCCGAGTAATAAATTAACATATGTTTAATCATTGTTTGTAGTATAATTTGTATACCACTGGTTTAAACCAGTCTTTAAAGATTCATACATACAACTTGTAAGCTTTCTATATTAATATTCGCTATCTATTTTTATTCGATGGGACTGGTGATTATTATATATTTAAATTTAAAGATAAAATTATGTAAATAAAGACAGTATTGATAACTGTGCATCGAATGCGACTGGAATAGATTGGAGTATAATTTGATTATAATCTGTCTAGTGTTATCGCATCAACAAATATCGGAGCTATCATTTTTATATATTGTTATGATGTTCATATGTATAAAATAAAAGTATAATAAATATAAAGCGTTTCTAATCGCCTGTAATAAATCGAATCATTTTTTATTATAAGTGCAAATTTATATAAATGGCAAATATTTTGAAAATTAAATTTAGCCTGAAAAGATTATATTTGGGATTAAAAAATTGAAATTTTTGAAAAATAATGTGTTCTTTTTGATAATTAAATTAGCCTAATTAATATTTAAATTTAGCGCGTTTTTCTCAACTGTGTACATAAAAAGATAAATCGACAGATTGGTTGCATCTTTTGGATTTAGTTATCAACTTTTTATTTCTAAAAATTAGGAAAAGATCAAGAATTAAACCAGAATTAAAATTTTAATGAAAAACAAATGGACATAAATCAAATATGATTGGTTCTTATCTTTGGATTCAACAAATCACATTCAATAGGCTTATTTTTTTTTTTTAGCTAAACTTCTTGTACAGTTTATTTTTTCTTTCTTTCCTCTCATGCAGAAGGAAAAGGAGAAAAAATAAACTATGCAAGAAATTTAAAAAAAAAAAAACAGGCCTAATTATTACTTTACCAGCTATAAGCGGACAATCAAATTGTAAGTCATGTAGTCAGATGTCAGTAGTGAAATAACCTTTATGCGCATGTGTTGTAACTGTTTCAAGTTAAAATTGAGACTCGTGTAAGTTATACAAAATAACTCTTAATTTGATTAAAAGTTTAAATATTATCTTAATATAATTGGTTATCAATAAAATTACGATTATGTATGTGTATATTATGAGTGTAATAAAACTTAGTAAAGTTATTAAAATAAAACTATCTAGTTAGTTTAGTCATTAAGAAATTGTAAAAATAATTGTTAGATAAAAGAGTTATGGTTAAAGAAAACAATAACCATGACATGAATTATTTTTTGTGAAATTTTGTACATTCGTTTGATGGTTATCAACTTGTTATTGTTATTATTAAGAAAGTTATATGATGATAAACTAATTATGACTGACGTTGAAAAAATTATGCAAATTCTGCATGAATGTCATCCCAACGAAAATGAATTTAAGAGTAAGACAAAAGCGTTAAACAAGTCAAAAGAATCAAGAAAGAAATTTGAGAAAAAAGACTTGGAGAAAATTAAGAATAATGCAGAAAAATTACTCACAGATGCACGGTGTAACTATGTCGGAAGCATTGAATATTCCAGTTTAAATAGAATGCTGGCTATTTGTAATTTAGAGGTAATAATCTTTAATCTAAATTATACAGTTAAAAAATAAAAATTATTTTGAAAGAGAGATACCTGAGATATTTAATATATTATGACAACTATAAAAGACTACATGTAATAATTTATTTTAATGTCTAATAAACTTTTCATATTTATGAAAGATAAAAAATACATATACATGCATGTTCCTAGATTGGCAACGAAAGCACAGCTATTCATCATTTGGTTGAAGCTCATGCAGTAATACTTCGACAACACATCTTACATAGATATCAAAAAACTCAATTGCGTGAGTCTATATGGAATGAATCTCAAGTATATGGATTGAAACCGACACATGTAAAGTTTGAGACAAAATTTATAGATAACAGTGAATTGTTGAAAAGAAAACTTTTAGATCTACCAAAAGGTACATATATCTTTAGTTTATACAATGTATTTTTATAATATAAATTTATTATGCTTTTCTAATGTATTTGCAGAATGGTACATGATTCAGATTACTGCTCAATACGAATCTCCAACTGTAATAAGGTATGAAAGATGCAAATCTAATGTAATGCATGCTATACATATTACATTACTTCCCACGGGTACAACTGACACAGAACCCTTATGTATAACTGTGCCGAAACCAGCTACGAAGGTTTCCTATGATATCTGCAAAGAAATACAGAGATTATTGGATGAATATAAATCTGCACTAAAAACCACTTACACGAATAAACAATATTGGATGATGCGTGCAAATCAAAACAAGAAAATGAAGGTAAATGAAATTTGAGTGATGTTTTTAATAAGAGGAAAATTTAAATTGATTAATTATAGATAGCTATAAATGGATTGGAAAATGTATGGTTAAAAGAATGGAGAGTATTATTTATGGCTGACCCTATTGAAAATTTGGAAATAATAGATGATATTCATCAAATGATCGATAAATTGATATCAGATTTTAAACCTCCGTAAGTAATATTAATCAAAATTCAGAGAGCTTATGGCAATACATTTTTTATACTAAATTTCATGGTTTTATCTTTTTAGCATCGAAATTTCAAAGAAATGTAGATGGCTTTTGAAAAAGATATCCACAGGTGCATGTTTTCTTACACGTGAAGAAATAGCGCGTGCAATCAAATTTCTACTTCCTGAACATGCAAAACTTGTAAATAATATCATTTTCTCTATTTACGGGAAGTTGTCATATATAAAAGAACTAGAGAATACAAAGCGAAAAACATTAGTTCTGATCATTGATGAGGTACGAATAATAAATCATTAATTATAATCATTATAATCATTAATTATACACAAATACGAATTTATGAAAATTTATTTTGTATACAAAGACTTTTTATTTCTTAAAGTATATGGATTACTTAGCATTCGAAGCTATGGAAATTATTAAGAATCATCCCGTTACCCGATTTCCATCCTTGCAAGTAGCATACGCATTATTCAAAGAACATGAGGATACTATAGTAGAAGGTTGTAAAATAATTAAAGCTAAAGAAGATATGGGAACTTGCATAGTCAATCCTTCTGGTGATCTTGATAAAATGGAAAAACGCATAAAGCTTTTTATGAACTTTTGGCTACCACAGTGGAGAAGTTGTTATAATATAAAACCTGGCGAAATGTTTGAAGATGCGTTAACAAATCACGATATTTTAATGTACAAACATTTTATTTCCGTATCAACGATTATTTGCTTATCTTTTGTTTTTACTATTTTTCTCTTTACAGGTATACTGGTCATGGAAGTGGTATAGAATATTTATCTGGCGAAGATATTGAAAGAATGCGAGTGAGATCTACCGTTTTATTATTTGGATGTAGCAGTGTGAAACTAGTTATGATAGGTGGAAGATATCCACCTTATGGTGTTTCAAATCAATATTTAATAGCATGCAGGTATAAAAATGTATACTGTTTATATAAAAAAATTACAAATGTATTTTTTGTACATGTACATATTAATTTGTATTTTTTATAGCCCTTGTCTGTTGGGTATGCTGTGGGAAGTGACAGATGTTGATATCGATAAAATGACTACAAATTTCATGAGCAATTGGATTCCATCGTCCTCAAAGAAATCATGGGCTGAAGTAGACATAGATAATTGGAGTTCTGGAGTTGGTGTTACCCTAAGTTAGTATTAATGATTATGAAAGTAATTTGCATATTTGTTTTCTCGGTATTATATACTATAATCTTTTGTAATCAAATTTTTCAGTATATAGGAAAAAAGAAGAAAAAGACAAGATAAAAATGGAACCTGAAATGTTGAGGGCAGTGGCAAAATCCAAAAATAGTTGTTCGCATTATATGACGGCAGCTGCGATAGTAATAAGAGGTTTACCAATAAAAATAGTTTAAATCCTCATCGATATCATAAATTATATTTTTATAATGCTGAGATACAAGGTAATTTATATTTTTAAGTCGTGTATAAAGCGGTTATTTTCCGAAAGACAAAACAAAAAAATATAGTGAATCTTATAAAGCAAAATTGTATTTTACTTTTAATACTTTGATATGAAGATCTTTTTTAGAGCTTTATATAAAAATAACAAAATTGACTAAAGAATGCTATATTTAAGTGTATTATAAAAACTATTAAAAGCTTTTTATAGTGATATTTCCGTCGATTATTGCCATTACTGATTCCAATTCAGACTATGAATCGTAGTCACATAATGATCTGCGGTTCTGGTACAGAAGTGGAAATGTTTTTATGCGGCAAAACTTGTCCGCCATTAATATACAATTCATCTTTCACGATAACATCCTCTCCTAATACAGTTGTACCTTCCATTCGCACCCATCGTCCTACGACGCTTCTCCATCCAACGATACAACTGTTTTAAATATTTTTAGTTATCTTGATGTTATCGAAACATTTTACATATCTTAAAATTCCATATATCCACGATATAATTGATACTTGCCCATCCAGCCAAGCATGTTCTTTTATTACAGCTGCCTTAAGAATAGTACTTCGCTTAATACAACATCCATCAGCTAAAGTGACACCAGGTCCTATCGTGACATTGGGTCCGATTCTACAATCTTTGCCAATTTTAGCCGTTGGATCTATTAAGACGTTGCCTACTATATCAGGCCCAGAATGAAGCTGTTCAGGATGCTTTTGCCTTAATGAGGCAAGATACATAGACATTCCTGAATAAAATTATGAATAAATTAATTAATTTATACAAGATGACATTTGATAAAATTACAATATATGCTTGCCTGTGAGGAAGTCTTTAGGTTGTCCCACATCCATCCAGAAACCTGGCAATTCCATAGCATATAATTCTCCATCCTGAGCCATACTTGGAAAGATTTCCTTTTCAATACTCGTAGGTTTCAATTCTATTCTGTTTAATACACTTGGATTAAGAATGTACATACCTATATTTATAAAAAAAAAACATGATTTATTAAATTTTTTTATGAAGTTTGACTTTTCCATTGCTGTACCTGCGTTAATTTTATTAGATATGAATTCTTGTGGCTTTTCAACAAAACTCTCAATCTTTCCATCTTCTCCATATACAACCACACCATATTTTGATGGTTCTTCTACTTTAGTAACGACTATGGTTCCTTCTTTACCATGATTTTCATGAAATTCAAGAAGCTGTTTAAAAGGAAAATCGCAAATGATATCAGAGTTTAAACAAAAAATGGGTCATCACTGGCACATAAATATTCACGCGCGAGCGCAAGTGGTCCGGCAGTACCCAATGGTTCCGGTTCATGAGAAAAAATGAGTTGCACTCCTAGTTTTTTGCTTCATGAACCAACTCTTCTTCCATTTGCTGCGCCCGATAAGAAACAGCTAATATAACTTCAGATACATTTGTCTGTACCTAAAAAAATTTAAGAAACATATGGAAATATAATGAAAATCATATTCGATTAATTGATCATTGTTGAAATATTGCTTTGATTATCATTTAAATACGTACTAATGCTTCAATTTGATGTAGAAGCATTGGTTTATTTGCAAATTCGACAAGTGGTTTAGGTCGACTTAATGTAAGAGGTCGTAATCTGGTTCCATAACCACCCACAAGTATTAAAGCACGCATAGTTTGCAATTTCTTCTTCTTTTCATGCATTTCTATGAATTCTATAACCATTACGATAAAGGTATTTTCTTATTTTTAAAAGTCATATAAACTAATTGTATAGTCCAAGTAGTAAATTTGTCTTTTATATTAAATCATAATTTAATTATTCATTATTAAATCATAATTTTTGATAAAAGAAATTAATGACTTTCGTTTTAATTTGGAAGATACAAAATTATATATTTTTTTTATATATTCTTGTATATATTTTATTTTACCATGTAAATTTTCTTATTCTTACTCCAACATATAATAATACACTGATTTAGCAGGATAATTACCATTATAATCACAATTATGTATTTATCATTACCTTCTTGATGACATACGCGAGGCTTACGTTCCGTATCACCGTCTTAAAACGAAATTTGATATCTCGGTGATAATTATTGCCACGTAAGAAGTTTGACAGACGCAAGTTTGCTACGTGTTCACCAACTTGTGTTACACATGGACTATTCTTCCTTACATCGCATTATTGATACGGAATGTAAATTGACAAATTTGTATTGTAATGTATTTTTTTTTATGAGATGCTCACTTAATTTTTTGTCTTATAAATCTTTAATAATTAATATTTGCGAATGATGTCATTAGACGCCATGTTATCATTTGTCACTGTGTCATTCGTCAATGTGCCATTGTGGCGATAACAAACTTATACATGCGTACGTATATATATTTCGTATCATTAGATATTGGCTACAGTAGTGTTTTTCATGAATGTTTTCATTACATAACTATTTTTATAACATATCTAAAAATTTGAAAACGAAATATCTCTCACGCATGACACAAGCCTCAGTTCCGATATACATATCAATACTGAAAATCTATAGTTTATGTAACGTGTATTATAGATTTTCAGTAAACATTTGCAACATAACCTACATTCATTTTCTTTTTGTTCATCAAACATTAAAAACGAATGAATAAATGAAAGTAATGTCATGTGATAGAGAATTTGTAAATTATTTTTTTACTCGATATATAAAAATGGCTTTATTATACATTGCACAACAGCGAAATTATATTTATTGAAATGTGTAAAATACAGAGTCGCAACGTTACACAATCATTTCTAGTTCTCGAGCATAGTCTATTGCGAGGGCTGCCAATTCGGAGCTCGGAATGGGTTCCTCGGATTTTTTCTCGCTGGTCGTGGTAAAATAAAAATAGCCGTCCTTGGATAAATTCCAGTTTTTCTTGGTGGCAAACACTTTTATGTCTTTTTCCGTGTTTAAATTGAGCATCCTCGCGGCGTCTTGAATGGAAATTTTATCATACGCGCTCTCCATACACGCGCCGATTTCATCGCGAACAGTATTCAATAAAATGTCTATGAAAAAATTATAGGATGCGGCAGGCACGTTACCCTTGGCTAGGAAAATCTTGTTATATGATCCTTCCATCAAATATTGTTCCAAGCTCAAGGGATGCCTGATGTATACGTTTGATTGTATCTGATCAGACGGCAAGAGTTCCAGCTCTGTATGAAATTCAGCGACTCGATTTTGTGATAGCAAGAACAAGAGATTAAGGCCAAGAAGCTGATACTTGTAAGCCGATTCCATCAAACCAGATTTATAATCAAAATAGTAACACTTTAGTTGAGCCATATATCTTTCGAAGGAAGGAATATCCTCGGTGGCAATGCTCCATTGTGCTCCAATTTCTAATATATCTCCTGCAAATGAAACAAAATTATAATTATAATCGTATACTATCAATTTAAATGCAGAATTTAAACAAAATCAGCAATACATACTGGCGATTAACAATTCATTCTGACTAGCCGTGCTATTTGATGTTGGGAGAAACATTAGATGAGTGAGGCCAATCTGTCACATAACAATTACCTTATGTTTAACTTATTAATGTCACACAATTATTATCAAAATTCTATGTATATAAATTCTATGTATATCTAAATATCAAAGAGAATCATTAAAGTTTAGAAACAGTTTATGGTAAACGATGACAATCCATTTTGACAAATGAGGTTATGATAACGAGATTATATTTTTATCAGCGAAAATTTCATTCGGCATACTGCAAATAAGGTATATAAATTACCTTTAACTGATTGAGCAATTCACCACATTTCTTCAAATTGCATGGCGTTTTTGTCCATTCACGTTTCAAATTTTGATACAAGGCAACAACGTCTTTGAGGGCTGCCATTTTTATTCTCACCATGGAATAATCGGATATTTTAGATGCGAACGATACGAGACGCGCGGGAAGCTTCAGTCACATACAGCACAGAATTTCAAATGAATTTTTACATAACTCTCTTTTAGCATTATTATATTTATTGGTCATACGATTTGTTATCTTTATTTTATATTTTTGGACGATTTTTATAAATTTTTGTAAATAGTGCGTCATATGTTTCCTGTCGCGGGGAATTTTAATGGTTCGTAAACGACACGTGATTTCCGCGCAGAATCGTGATTCACCATCACTGAAAATATATAGTTCGCGTCACGTATATTATAGACTTTCAGTCCTGGCAGCGAATATTGGAATGCAGCCTAGATTCGCGCGGCGCGCACGCGCATTCTTTCGTGGAGTGACTGTACCGGCTGTACCGTGGCGCAACTAGCGGCGAATGCACCACTTACACTCGCGGTGTACTACTTGACGATGTGCGTTTGTCGAAAGTAGAGTGTGCTTTACCGGCCTTTTACTTCCTCTTCTCGTGACACGATACAATGGCGTCCGGAGTAAGTGGCTTTCACGCGGTTTTTCACCGGTCGGCATCCGCGCCGTGGCGCGCCCACGCCGGCGCCGGATTGTCGGAAAACAAAGCTCGGACAATGCGTTAACCGTTACACTGTGAATTTCTTTTAGATCCTCTACACGTACCCGGAAAATTTCCGAGCCTACAAGGCCCTGATAGCGGCTCAGTTCTCCGGCACCCAGATCAAAGTTGCCGATGACTTTGTCTTCGGAGAGACTAATAAGAGCGAAGCATTTCTCAAAAAATTCCCATTGGGAAAGGTGAGCGAGAGCATCCGCGAACGATCACCTTCGAAATAGCTTCGAGTATCTCGTGAATCCTTTTATTTTGTACGCATTATGTTGCAATGTAGCTGAGACATGCTTTTCCTCACGTCACATATGACAAGAAAGAGGCTATCGAGTATTACTCCAGTTACTTATCTGTCGCTGGAGCTTTTGATTTCCGACAAATTATTATAAAAACACGCTATTTAATTAACATTCTTTTGTTACATTTTGATTATTTCTACAATTTTCATATTAAAATTTTTATTTTTATGTACAAAAATATATGTTGACTTATATAGCATAATTAAAGTGAAAATTGATGAGAATGTTGCTAGAGAAATGTTTTTTATTCAATGACACGTGTAATATAGATTTTTGTAATATATCAAGAAGGATAACAAGATAGTTAATCTTTTGTATGGGAGTTGAGTGAGAAAAAATGAAAAAGAAAAAAAAACAGAAAGAAGGAAAAGAAAGGAAGAGTTCTGTAGAAACATCTGAGTATATACTATGAATCAAAGTAAACAAGCTTCTTGCAGTTGCTATTTATATGAATTGTAATATTAGTGATAGAAAATATAATGTACAAAATTTTTAAGGTTCCAGCGTTTGAAACATGCGATGGAAAATATATCACAGAAAGCAATGCGATCGCTTACTATGGTAAGCTTCTTAAAGATAATTATTTATTTTCTCTTATTATCTATTTACATGTGCTATATTTACAGTGGCTAATGAACAATTGAGAGGAAAAACTGATATCGAACGTGCATTGGTTATTCAATGGCTTGGCTTTGCTGATTCTGAAATTCTTCCTGCCAGTTGTGCTTGGGTATTTCCTTTACTTGGAATAATGCCATATCACAAGCAGGTACCATACATTTTTTTATACTAGTTGCATTATTTATTCGATATTGTATATATAATTATCCTCCTTCTCAAAGGCAAAATTGGCAAAATTACATAGCCATTTTTTGTAACAATGGGAGGTAGATTAAATATATATGCTTATTATACTTGTGGACATATGTGTAACATATGCTGTAACGATACTGCATACATTTAATTTTGTTTTATATAATTCTGCAATATACTATCTAATACAAATACATATGTAGACATAGATTGTTGTAAGATGCTAATTCTACCTGATTAAACTGATATGATTTCTTTTAGACTGTAGAACATGCTAAAGAGGACATAAATAAAGCACTCACTGCTCTAAACTCTCATTTGCTTACGCGAACGTATTTGGTGGGAGAACGATTGACTTTGGCAGATATCTGTGTAGCCATGACACTGTTGCATTTGTATCAATATATACTTGAGCCAGAGCTACGTAAACCTTACCAGAATGTAAATCGATGGTTCCAAACAGTCATCTATCAACCTGAATCTATTGCTGTAATTGGTGCCTTTAAATTGGCAGATAAAACTATCGAGTATGATCCTAAAAAATTTGCGGAAACTCAGGGAAAGGTTAATACATCAATAAATATGCATATATAATTGTGCTATAATTGTGCTATAATGTAAATATTTATTCAATTCAGAGTTCAAAAAAAGAAAAGAAGGATAAGGATTCGAAGAAGGAAGGTAAGGAGCCAAAAGAACCCAAGGAGAAGAAAGAATCTAAGGCTGCTGCAGAGAAGACCCCAGCAGTAGAAGACGAAGCTGATGCAACAGAGGAGGCTTTAGCTGCCGAACCGAAAAAGAAAAATCCCTTTGCTTCGATGCCTAAAAGTTCTTTCGACCTTGATGATTTTAAACGATTTTACTCCAACGAAGATGAGTCTAAATCGATTCCTTACTTCTGGCAAAAGTTTGATCCAGAAAATTATAGCATTTGGCTAAGCGAATACAAATACAATAATGAACTAACAAAGGTATGTGGATATTATCTTGAGAAATATTTGAAAAGTCGAAATGCATTATATATTGAATCATTAATGTATGTGTTTCTCATATGCGCAGGTTTTCATGTCTTGCAATTTAATCAGTGGTATGTATCAACGATTAGATTCGATGAGAAAGGGTGCGTTCGCCAGTGCCTGTATATTTGGAGAAGATAACGACAATACAATCAGTGGCATTTGGATCTGGCGAGGACAGGATCTTGCTTTTACAGTACGTTTCATACGAATGTGCATTTGGAATGAATATATATATATATATATATAGATTTTTTTTTGTAGTAATAAAAATTTTTTTATATTTTTCCTATCCTCTAGCTAAGTCCAGATTGGCAAGTGGATTACGAATCTTACAGTTGGACAAAACTTGATCCATCTAAAGAGGAAACAAAGGAGTTGGTCAAGCAATATCTTAGCTGGACTGGCACAGACAAAGAGGGACGTAAATTCAATCAAGGAAAGGTTTTCAAGTAAACTTTGCAACAAATGAGAGATAAAATAAAAACGAAAAATCCTATTCAAACGAAATAAATCTAAAAAAATGATAAAATATCAGAAAACTTTACATACGCCCTTCAAAAATCCTTATATTTCAAGAGACAAAAATCAATACCCACAGATCTCTTTCGCCTAAATATATACGTGTTCCTTTCTTTCTGTCCACACATGATAGGATATACATATATCTTTGTTTATACGTAAATATATATACAATGTATATTTCTATTTTCCAAAATATATAAGATCCTATCATTTATGAATATATAATATTTAAAACTTGTGTACCATTCAGAATTTTATCTTTAAGAAATTATTTATTTTGATACTTTGCTCATTACTTCCCATTTACATCTCTGATTAACAATCTCGATTAATTAGCTTTTGAACTATCGATATAAATAACACGAATCTCCAGTAATAAGAATTACACATGTACAAGTAGAGAAAAAGAGAGAAAGAGAGACATTGATATTTTACATTCTTCTTAATTCTTAATTCTTCGTTAAGTTTATGAAAAATATAATTTTATTACAGAAATGTTATATGCATATCTGTTGCAGTAACTATTTGATTTAGTATTCAGATGATCCTGCGCTTTGATTATATATACATATAATATTTATATCCTGAATTAAAAAATTGTTACATATACAGCATATATATGTACTTAATATATCCTAAATATTGACAAAAATGTATGGAAAATTTCTTTGATATTAATATAAATATGTATTTTCACAAAAATAAATTAGACGTTAAAACTTTAACAGAACGCCTATCTTTTTAATAAATAAAAAAATATATATAGATAAATGAATAATGCGGAATGACTTACACTAAATAAATGTTACAAATTATTTGGCGAGGTGCTCTATTGTAGAATTTTAAAAGAGGTGACATTAAATGTACAACATATTTCATAACACAACTTTACTATTTATTGTATATATACAATATAATTTATTATAAATTTGTTTCTAGTAATTTTTAAAAGCCTTTTGTATTCATCCATTCTTTAACACGATTAACAAAATCACCCTTAAGTTTAATTAGACCTGCAAATTCATGTATTTGACTAGCAATTCTTTTTTTACTGTGTTTTTCTATATACTGTTTCATATCACGTTCCAATTCCCATATATTTCCTTGAATATTACCAATTTTTGTAATCTTTTTGTCTCCTTTGCGATTTCTTTTTAAATATACAGGTTGCATGTAATTTTTTGTACGTTCTATGAAATAAGGATAATCCGTGGGTGAAGCTGTTAAATTAAAAAGAAAAAACCTGTTACTCAAAGATGAAAAATAAATCAAATACATACATTTTTGGTGCCAGAGATAAATATACACATGAAATATATTTGTCATTTACCAGTTGCTGGTTTAAAACCAGATGGAAATATGACATCTTGATTGGATGGTTTAGGTACAATTTTATATCTAAGTACACGTTCTACATATTTCCATTCATTTGGATCTTGTGAAATCTCGTAATCTGTATAATCTTCAGGTGTTGTATATTTGGGAGACGATTTATAACTACTCCATCTCTGTTGAACCTAAAAAATAAAAGTTATATGTAACAGGTTTCATAATATGTTCGTAATCAATTCTATCATATGTTGAATTAGCACAATTTATCGGTATTAAAGTTAAATATGAAAAATGAATATCATTCTCACGATAGATTCTAAAAAAATTGTAATCTTTCTGTACACATGTAAAGATGACTATAGCAGGATGATAATGACGATATTCATTTCAAAATTCACCTATCCATTATTCATGACACGTAATTATACGGTAAATCCTAAACTTTGTGTGCACGAATCGTTAAAAAAATCCCGTTATATATCCCATAGATAACCTTCAAATTTCCAAATAAAGATTGGTATTAAGGCATTACATATTTTCACAAATATTATGATCGAATCGATTTGTATCTATCGATGTCTATCGTTTACAAGTTACAGTACTTTGGTGAACGTGCCGTGATTACGGATTACGTATAGAGCACTAGACAAGTTGCACGGCCCACAAAAGTTTACGGGTGACATCGGGAGTGCCTTTTATCGGAGTATTTCCTCCCCATTCGCGTCGAGGGAGTCGAGAATCATTGATAAGCCGGGCATAAAGGACAAACGTGGCCATGATTACACGTGGGGCCCTTCGAAACAATCGTCCCAAGGTAATTATGGCAACGCACGAGAGAAAATCCGTGGAAAGCCGCGACGTGGACTCGCGTCGGGAATCCGGCACGTACCTGGGTCAACGCGGACGCGACGCGCGACGTCGCCGCGGGATTTAGCGATCGTGCGAGGCCCGAGAGCGCTGCGACGAGGTTACCGCGTGCGGCGAGGCTCCGAAGGGCGGCCATTTTGGGGACTTTGGTAAATAAGGGTCGGCGGCCGCCATTGCAGCGCACCGTACGACGGGCGCGTCTTCCCTCTCACGCTCTCTCGTCGCCGTGGCCGAGCGGACCGCGCGAGTCTCGTGTCTCGCGGGCTATTGCGTGCCTGGCTCGCGCCGCTATCGTGACATTGGTTTTTCTCGCCCCGGGTAACCTGCCCCCGCGGCCACCGCCGCCGTCGACGGCGGCGACGACGACGGCGACGACGACGACGACGACGACGACGACGACGGTGACAACGGTGACGACGGTGACAGTAACGACGACGACGACGACAACACAGGGACAAGTCCGTTTCCGATTAGATAGGTGAACGTGGCCGGAGCATCGCTACGAGCCTAAAATCCGCGTTACAAGGCGAGGTCAGTTAGCGCGCACGTACCGTAGTTGCGGTACGAGAGCTGCGCGTTTCCCGCGGTGGAGCGAGAAGCGACGCGGGATAAAGTGAAGTTTGGTGAGGTGAGGTGAGGTGAGATGAAATGAGGTGAGGTGAGGTGAGGTGAGGTGAGGTGAAGTGTGAACATAGCTTGTGCAGCCGTGTCGTTACTCTCTCCGGTGTATCCGGCATCGCGACGGCACCGCCGCGACGGCGGCAGCAGCGCGCGCGTCTTCCCGGACTCGGTACCCTGGTGCGCGGCGCGGTGCGGTACGGGTACGGGCACCACAACGACGACGACGACGACGACGACGGTACGGTGCGGTGCGCCGAGTCGAGCTCGAGCGGCGTCGCCGCGTCGCGTCGCGACCGCTCGTTTCGGCCGGGCGACAACGGCGGTGGAACCGCGCGGGGGTGCAGCAGCGGGCCCGAGCGGCGGCGCGTTTACGGCGCATTGTTATCGCGAACGGACTATGCTCCTGGGAAAAGCCGCGCGCCACGACCGTCAGGTGGCGGTAGCCGGGAAACAGTGGGACGGCGCTGCATAGACACCCTGCAACGGGACCGTCCTTTTCACGGGGATTGTTGTCCGCGTTTTACTCGCGATCATCACGGACCTACAGCAGGATTTTCGGTCCCCGAGGTAAGTGCTGCCGACGGGGTCGCGAAGGGGCGCGCGATCCACCGCCGCCGCGAGCCCCCCGCGTCCCGCCAGAACCCCAAAAGTCCGAGTCGTACGCCGCGACCTTTTGTTTATTCGTGGCGACTTTTTCGCGATGACTTGTCGCGACGATTTCGCGGCCTTCCCGGCCGATCTCGGCCCGATTTCTCGGCCGGGTAGTTAGCGTGTGACGCGTGCTCTCTCGCGAGCGCGAAATCGTCGCGATCGGCTCGACGCGGGCCGAGATATCGCGCGAAATATTTCAGCCGTGATTCCCGAGGAGCGCGCGGAGAGGCGAGCGTGAAGCGTGAGCGCGAGCGCGAGCGAGGCGCTCCGTGCATCCGTGTGTGTTAACGCAAAGTTTGTCACGTAATTTTTCTGGTTGCCAGGGCCGCATCTATCAACCCCGGCTATTTTGTCCCTGGTCGCGCGCTGGCGTGTCGTACCGTACCGTATCGTACCGTCGACCGCCGACCGCCGACCGCCGACCGCCGACCGTCGACCGTCGACCGTCGAGCGACGCTGTGCGCCGTGATTCTTCGCTCCCTCTCGCCTTTCCACGATCCAAGATGCGCCTCTCTCGACGCCTCTCTCGATCGTGCCTCGCCAAATCGTGCGTTTCACACCGCGAAATGAAATGTCGCGCTCGCGCGCGCTCTACTACTCCTTTCCGTTGCAAAACGTGGATTTTGACTCGCCATTTTACTTTTCCACGCCAGTTCATCTTTTTACGAATATTTACGTACGTCCGTTGTTTATTATTTTATTTTTTATTTTTTATTTATTTATTTTTTTTTTTCGCAATTACGCGTAACTACGCGATTGAGTCTTAGCAAAATGTTTTGCTCCAAACTTTTTTTTTTGTTTTTAAAGATTTTCGAATCAAGTTGCAGTGATGTATAAATTTGTTTTTCATATGATAGCCTTCGAGTAATTGCGCACTTGGTTGCTAACAAAATGACAAAGATTATAATATTTTATAAATGTTGAATAAATGTATTTAGATAGTGTTTTAGAAAATATGAATGATATTACAGGAGCCCAATGTGGGTGGAAGTGAGATGGCATCCAGGGAAAAGAAACCCTTAGCGCCTTCCAAATCGAAACAGAAGGCGAGTAACGATTCTGTCTTGCCATCCAATGAGGTCAAGAATAAGAAAGGCAAGTCATTGCTGAATATAAAGCAGCAGCAACTTGCGCAAGAGATTTTTGATACAGTAGCAACGGGTAGTCAACTTCCTGTTAAACTAGAGGCGAGCTTACCACGTAGGAATGCCCTTAAAAATCTGAAACGCAAACAGAACTTACGAGCAGCCAAGGCAAATCTCATCAAGTCCAAGGTTACCAAGAGAGTGACCAACAGGATAATTCCTGACGTTAAGAAGGGTGCAAAGTATACGAAGAGAATTAAGCAATCGGAGGAGTCGGCCGTTAAGGCGGCAATCGATATTGCTCCCAAACTTTCGGAAAATCAGGCAAACAACGGAGACAACGAAGGTAGAGGAACTGAAACACCAAGTAAAAGTGCCAAGAATAATCTCAGGACCAAAAAGACCAAATCTGACGTTCAAAGTAAGGAAGAGGCCAGTGCTACGTCCGGCACTAAAGTCAGTCCAAAACTTGGCAGGAAGGGGAAAACGACGGAAAGTTCTGATTCTTTGTCAAAGAGTGCCAAAACAACCAAGTTAACCAGCTTGAAAAGGAATAGTCTCAAGGACAATCTCGTAAAAGTTGCAGAGGCTGATAACAAGGGTACGAAAGGCCGGAAAAGCGCTGGCAGGGAATTAGATTGCACAAGAAGTAGCGTTGAGAAATTTTCAAAGACTGTTTTGGAAAACAAGAATTCTATCGATCTTACTATAGACGAAGTGATCGCTTCAATGTTGAGTGACTCAGAAGTCGAAAGTCAACAGAGCGTCACGGAGAAGATTGAAGGTAAAGTGACAAGAAGTAAAAAAATGTTAGTTGACGAGAGTATCGTCTGCGATATCGAGATAAAGAAAGAACCCGATTCCGACGATACCAAAGTTACGTCAGACGGAGAGTCTGTGGAGACCGATCAAGGATTCCATTTTCAGAATGCCATCCAATTGAGAAAGAGAACGAAAGTCGGCTATGTCGATCAAATATCACAAAGAAGTTTGCGAAACGGAAAGCAGCGTCAGTTGTCAGATTTGGGAAATTCCGCAGATAACGATTCTAAAAAGCGACATAGATTAAATTCGGATGGAACTGTTGTCTCGGATAATTTGATAGAACATATTTCGGATTGTAATACGAATATGGACTCTTGTTATTCGGATCCTGGTTGTAACGAATCTCAAACGACATCGAGCAAAGAGGAGGTTTGCTCGAAGGACGAAACGTCCACGTACGACGAGGACGCTGAAATTGGATTGGAAATAGAGAACAATAACAACAGCGATCGCGCGGACAGAACGGATGAGATTGGACCGACTCTGCGTTCTAAAACTAAAGCAAAGACGGAGTACGAGTCAACGACGAGAGAGGACGACGTTAAAACTGAAGACGCACGAGTAACAGCCAGGTGTACGGAAGCCCAAGAGGATTCAAAGAAACTTAACAATTTGGATCAAGCGAAGAAGGACAACGTTTTAGCCAAGATTACAGACAAATCTAAGGGTCGTAGAAGCAGTTTAAACATAGACATGAAAAAAACACTCAGTTCCTTTTACAGCACGGATAAATCGGACGGTAACTCAAAGTCGCAGATAGATCAAATGATCGCTGACATTAAATTGAATATTGCAAAATCCATCGAGAATAAAATCTATGGTCCGGAAAATGGTCTTGGATTAAATAAAAATTTCGACATGCCCAAGATCGAAGAAATTGTCGCGCCGCTCAGTACGGAGTCGCAGAAAACGGGATTGGAAGACAATGCCGACGAGGATAAGTCCACTGTTACAAATGAAATCGCGTCAAACAATTCAGAAAATTCAGTACCAAAAGTGGCCGATACTGCCAAAGAGATCGAGGAGAAACTAGTCAAGTTTGATATTGGAGAAGCAGAGACACATTCGCAGAACGTCCAAGAGAACAAGGCCTCCGATAACGACACAACTAACGATGTACATAATATTTGCGAATCTATATGTAATATAGGTAATAATAATAATAATAATAATAATAGTAATAATAATAATAATGCTGCGCAACAGTCTCACAGGAATGAATCTGTGAATGAGCCCGAAGTGGAGAACGTTGGTTGTAGTACAGCCAGCGACGCCTTAATCAATATCGGTGATAACGAGTCAAAGACATCGGACGAGAATAGGAAGATTGTCACTACGAGGAAGTCTTCGAGAATCACCGACAAAAGTTCAGACAGCGTTTGCAGTAGCGAGACAAGAAAATCAAATAGGACAGCGAATAAAACGAAATCGGATAACGTGGAGGATGTTTTATATACGGATACACAAAAATTTACAAATGACGAAATCGTATCAGAGGATCGTCCCGCGGATGATAATACTGCAACTCTATCTGTGGTACCTGTATCGACATCTCCCGAACGGAAGGCGGAAGAGGAACTTACGGAAGAAGAAAACGCGCAAACAAAAACGACCGAGGAATCGGAAACTGAAGTCCCTCCGAACGTTAAGGATAATTCAGACGAGTCGGAAACGTTGGAAAGTATATCGCGCGAGGTAGAGAGATTGGTAGCGGAAGATCAATCTGTCAAATTATCATTACCAAGTGATACGGACGAGATGATTCAAAGCAAGGTTGAGATTTCCGATACAATGACGTCGGATAAAGAGCAAGAATGTGATGAAAGCGGGGATAGGGAAACGTCTGCTTTTCGCAGCGATGCCTCTACCCCGATTGGATCAGTTGCCGATGAGACGTCGAGTAAAAGCTGTGCGAACGGAAAATCTGCTGACACGACCGAAACGTTACAAGAGAGCGATACCTCAAACTGCAAAGCGGCGCAAAACGCAAAAAGTCCGAAAATTAACAATAACTTGCTACACGTACCAACTACCGTAAACTGTGATTCAAATAGTGAGTATAGCTCTGTAAATTCTATATCCGTGGATACTTGCACATCTGACCGGCCGAACGATGAAACCAAGGAGCTCGATTACGATAGCGGTTGTTCAAAGGAATTGAACAAATCCAACGTTATTATGCTAAACACGGACGAAAGTACCTCGGAACAAAAGGCAGAGCAGAACGAAGCCGCCTTAATAACGACCGACGAGAGCAATAAGTCCTCGGATGGCAAGGATCTCGACGAGCGGAAATCTATTAACGAGGAAAACAGAAGAGTGTTACGAACACGTGACAAGAAAAGGGCCGAAAGCAGGCAAGCCGCATCTCGCAGCCGAGAACACGTCGATGGTGTCAAGATTAAGACGGAGGAAGGTGGTGCGATTCAAAAGACGCAGACCTCCGATGCGCAGAATGATACCGATGAGGTGCAAGGCCCGTTGGACGATACCGCTGTTACGGAAGGTTCTCAAAAGGCAGAAGACGCGAGCGACTCGTTAAATTGCCACGAGGCAATTGTTGGCGATGTTGGCGAACTCGAGATTCAATCTCGTAGCCGTCGCGGTAGAGAGATGAAGAAACGCAGAGAGGAATTGTCGCAATTGTCCAGCGGTTCCAAGACGAAGCGCGTGAAGCGAGATCAGCGAAAGTCCGATCAGCAGAACAAGGAAGAGACCTTGTTGGACAACGAGGTCGCGAAAATCAACGAGAACAACAGGTCGTTCTTGAACAAGTACGGCGGCGCCAGTGCCGAGCGCACCGACAGCTTTTGCGGAGTTTTCTTCGAGCAAGGCGGGCAAGCTGGATTGGACAAGATCGACAAAGATCCTAATTTACGTAGCAAATCGGAGAATGATATAACGATTGTCGACGCGAAGTCTGGCAAGAATGAGGAACGACACCTCTCGCGAAATCTATCCGAGAATCACGTATCGAAACAGACAACTGATAATGCAGATATGTTGGCGAACGAATGCAAGACTCCCAAGACACCGGAGCTCGCGCAGAAAGATTCCGACGAGACTTCCACATCGGGTGAATCGTTCAACAGCGGTACGCCCAAGATTTTGGAAACGCCCGAAGATAAGGAGAGGAAAGAGTCGATTTTACGAATGTTGGGACTTGAGTCTCTCGAGGAAGCCGCCAAGAGACAAAATCAGCAAAAGACGAAGAAAGAACAATTATCTACAGGTACTCTGAAGACAATTATTCGAGTATCGCAAAAGGAGAAGGACAAGGACAAGAGAGGGTCACGATCTCCATTGAAAATGGTTCTTAAGCAGCAGGGACGAGGGGACGGAGAGGGTGACTCGCTCGAATTCTACACCATTCAAAAGGAGGTGAGATTTGAGCATGCTCGAGACACCATCTAACTCATTTGCTTATCACTTTTTAATTTTTTTTTTCCTTTTTTTTAACGATATTTTTGGTTTTGAAAAATAAATTTTTTTTTTAAGATTTATTCTTGATTTTCCATGCGTGGGTTGGGACGCGTATACTTCACTGACTTGGAAGATTTCCACATTTTTAATGTGCATGAAAAACAAGAGTTTTGAAGAAGAATAAAAATAATACGTGCTAATTGAATTATAGGCCAATGAGTTTAAAAATTTCGTTATATATTTTTTATCGATTCAATATTACATTTTGTTTCTTTTTTTTCAGTTTGGAACCAGTGGTTTGGGAGATAGCAGCTCTGGTGCGAACCGAAAGTTCACTACTAACCACAGACATTCTTGCGGTAATCCTGGTTGCGGGAATAACTAAATTGATAATCTCACTTGTTTTTCCCCCGTCGCCTTTTTCTCAAAAAGCCTTACATTTTCTTTTGTTCTAAACCGATAATCAATCACATATTGAGACTAGTGCAGTGTAGCGAATGGTCATTCACATTTCCATTATGAATATTTTAAAGAATAATCGATCAAAAGCGTTAACGTTCTATATTATATTTATTCTCATTTATTTTCTTCCGCCATTTTAATAAAGCTAGTTATGTGCTTAATATAATAAGCACAATGCAAAAACTCTTCTATACAGTTTAAGAGAAAAGTGATCATATTCCGTTTGCCTCTTTATAATTTGATATTGTGCAACATTTCATTTTACAGACCACTAGTTCCAAAAACTACACTTACTCTAGCCTGATTATTTTTTTTGTTTATAACAATGCATGCCATGTGTTTTATGCCGTTGCTTTTCCAAAGTAATCCTCTAACTTTTGCGTTCTTACTAATATCGCCGTGTTAATGTTATCTAAAAAAAAAAAGAGAAGTTTTACATCGCAATTGAACAAAACATACATAATTCGTCCATTTTATTATCATAGATGACGATAACGAGGAAGCTACGCCTAAGGATCGTCAGTCGCTTGTCATTCCAGAAAAATCATCCTCTTTTTCCATACATCCTGGACGCGTGTGTGCTGATGTATGTTGCTATTGTTTTGGAAAGTTTGGTTCTTTGGATACGCCGATGCATCTAGCTCAAATAAAGTCTGATGAGAGACGTAAAAAGATCTTGAATGTAGAAAGACATCTTACAAAAGATTCATGTCTGTGCGACGCATGCTACCGCCACGTTGATAGAAAGGTTTGTTATTTCTCGATGATATTTGACATACAAATCATTATTTACTTTTATTAGATTTTATTAGATTTTTACTTATAACTTTACTTAAGATTATATGTAATTCTAACAATTTTTATTAAATGCTCGTTTTGCTTGCTCAGGCGAACACTAGCCCAGCAAACATGCAGCAAAAACCACAGAAACAGCATAGGCAGTTGATGATGTCAAAGTGCTCAGCACGCGAATGTCGAGATCCCGCGCGACATCATGTTAAGCGTCGTTGGTTACTTAAGATAAAAACTGGTCTGCAGAATCAGGTTAATATTCGTAACTAGATCACTCGCATCCGAGTTTTAGCAACGTGATGAATGACGTATGATCTATGCATGCTCATGTGAAATATTGTTGTTGCAGGTCGACATAGACTGGGATTCGAGTCAACACACCACAATGTCGTTTTGCGTTAGTCATTACGAGAAAATTGGACGTTTTTTGACATGCGCGCTCTGCAAGCGCCGACTCGCTCGTACGCATACTCACCAGCTGACTAACGCGGAGACCAACGAATTGAATCACTTACTTAGCCAACAAGGGATCCCTGTCTTGTTAGCGGTCGGCACATTTGTGTGCAAGCTGTGTCGTTACTTTGCGCAGCTACAGCTTAAGTACAGGGACATCGATAATATGAATATGAATCACAGAACTTTCTGCAAAAGTTATCGAAAGCGGTGAGTATACATGCTCAAAGAAACTAAATTTGATCGAAGGAACTGACGAGGAGTATTTTCCAATAGGATCTTACATTATCTTGGAATCGATGTAGCTTTGGATGAGGATGACGATTCGTCGCAACAAACGAATCAAACGAAGGACAAGAAAAACAAGAAGAGCACCAAAAGTTCGCAGCCCAAAAGCGGAAACTCTAAATCTCCAGAACGTGCAACGAGCGGTACGTCGGAAAAATCGACGCCGGAACCGAACAAGAACGAGACTGCGGTAGAATGCTCCGAGATGAGTAACGAGAGTCGTGCTCCCAAGTTGGGCAACGATGAAAATGGCGCAACGGACATTCACTATCTCGAGAGCACCGTGGAGAATCTGAAGAAACGCAAAATACTCGATATGCATGCGTACACTCCGGGCTCATCCTCTTCGTGCGACGGCATAGTGGCGAATGGCATGACCCTCGGGATGGATGAGGTTACCTTGACGCGATTACCAAAGAAGTCGAGGCTCAGCAACAACAACAATAATAACAGCAATAACAACGACATAACACCTGTGGTGCAGAGACTCGGTGCAAATCCCTCCATAAGTGTACGCACGCTTTTCCCAGGCGAGGAGGAAATGAATCTTCACGTTAACATCGAGTTTCAAAATGTGCGCGAGGTCACGCCACAAGGATGGGAGAAGTGTGCGACGATGATTCAGTACGATCGTGAAACCAAACATCTCTGGCAACAATTACAGCGACCGTATGGTAATCAAAGTTCTTTTCTACGTCATTTGATCCTTCTGGAGAAGTATTATAGAGCCGGCGACTTGATATTGGCGCCAAACGCCTCACGGAATGCAATCAACTATTCCACTTCAGTACAGAACAGACTGATATCATACGAGGGTCCGGAAAAAATGGACGAACCTATAATGGAACCGATCGCAACGGAATACAGCAATCCGCGTCGTTTGAGCGGTGGCTACGTATTGGAGAAAGACAGATTGTCTATGCCCGGCACGAGTTTAATGTCGAGACAATCGACTAGCAGTGGCAATGCGACGTCGTCGTCAAATTCGATCAAAATGAACTCACAGCGAATGCTCAAACTCAACTCGGGGGTGTCAATCATCAAAAAATCGCCCCCAAATTTGCAACGATTAAGCCTACCGTCTACTAGCAGTAGTGGAGGTGGCTGCGGCAGCGGCGGCGGCGGCGGCGGCGGCAATGGAAATGGAAGTGGAAGCGGAAGCGGCGGTAGTGCCACAACGGCAAATGGTAGTGGCAGCGCCGTTAAACGGAAAGACGGCCAAGCTTCAGCCTCCATTTACGGTAGCGGCGGCAAGGTGTTTCAGTTGAGTGAGACAGACATAAAACGAATGCAAACCTTCAAACGGCAAAAATTTAACGATAGACCTGCTGCTGGAACGAACAACGGATCGGTTGGCAATACCAACTTCCGTTCGCAATATCAGAAGACGCAGATTACCGTTCTTGGGCACAACCAACAATTTCAGAGGCATCTGCGAATGCAGCAAGAGAGGTTGAATCGTCAGAGTCGCGGTGACTTTGAACCACTGATCTGCGACATGACGCGTTCCGCTACCTCCGCGAATGAAAGCAACCCGACGGGCCAAAATATTCTTCACAACCTTAACCTGCCGAAATCGATCCAGGTGACGACTAAGCCGACATCGGCAAGCAATCCGATTCCGATTTTGCCGAAAATTCCGAAATCTTTGACGGTAATACCGCAAACCGTCACAAGATCTGCTGAAAAATAAGAATGGGAGACGTAAGTAGACGTTGAGTACGCAGTCTGTTTATTTTTCCCCCCCTTTGTTTCTTTTTCTCTCAAAAGGAGGAGAGACAGGGCAGCAAAGATAAACGATCGATTGTACAAGATTGTATTTGTATGCTTTTTTACGCGTCGATATCGATTAAATCTCAAAATGGCCGCCAAAGCGAAGCAAGATAATGAACATGGTCAATGCTCGGAGAGCAATTTTTGCCTTACGTGAGCGCATTGCGATATGCACTTACCGAGCCTGAACGCTCAAAACACACACACATTGATTTTACGTTATGGTTAAGACGAGACAGACTATAGCGATTTATATATACTTGTTGCATCAATCGTGATCACAAACTTGTAGATAGATTTAGTAGGATAATTCGAGCAAATTGAGACACTTTGATTCTAACGATATTATACATATATTAACAACCAAAGTTTCGCTATAAAATTCATTAACGAAAAAACGTGTTGAACAATGCTGTTTCCACGGAAAGTGCCTAAAGTAAGACAGGAGGTAGGAAGGAAACTGTTACTTTAATATTAATTAATTACGTAATTATGCATGTGAGAGATTCAGATCCTCAGGTGCGGTACACGTAGATACATCGTACATATATCGAGTTTTTTAATAAATAAATATCAATCTGTGGAGAAAGGAGTGATCTTTTTTGAAGAAAAATCAATAGCAGAAGAAATATTTGAAATTTAGCTACTTATTTCTAGAATATCTTGTATTATAGAAGGTGCAGGGGATCGTAATCAGGACGTTGAGTCCCCAGGTAGAAGTGTCTCGTTGAATATTGTTGCTCGTAACCATCTTTAAACGTAGTCAATTTAGATGCGCATATATTTTCATATTGAAAATGTTCTTTTTCAAAGACTAATTGAAAACATTTTTCCGTAATCGATCAGGAAAGTTTGTTTTTCTTTTCTCTTTCTTTTTTTTTTTTTTTTTTTTTTTTTATTACTCTATTCTTTTTCACGAGGGATCGCCTTTTTACCACGGTTGTACCATCGATTTATCGGGTATCCTATATACGTAGAAGGAATTCATCACTTTAACAGCATTGCCTCGATTTTAATTTAAACATAGCTTGCGTCATTTCTTTTTCTTTGTATTTAGTTAAGTAGAGGTGTAATAAAGAATATGTAAGGAATATGTATTATATAGGAGGGGTAGGCTCCTTTATGATTCATCACGTGAAAGATTCAGATTGTAAAAATCACTTGCATTGAATCTTACTGATCACTTTGCTTACTTCTACTTGCTTATTTTTTCAATCGATATATCGAACATATCTATTTTTTGAAAAAAAGGAAAAGAATAGAAGAAGAAATGTAAAGAAAAAAGAATGTAAGGACACGTTGCGCGCACATACGCGCGCGCACAGCAAACACACACACACACACAAACACAAACACACGTCCCACATCGAATCTTGCCCAGTTGAATGATTGTTATCGGTAGTTCGTTCCTCTTATCGCGTCTGAAAGAGAAAAAAAATGGACATGGTTGCGCGGGAGACACATACGAATGGTACTTGCATGTTGCAAGTCGGTATATTTTATCTATGGAAAAATCTTTTTGGGCGTTTATGAGAACGACTCGACAAATGTATATTATAATATTGGCCTGCTCGACCTTTAGGAGCATAATGACAAGAACATAAGTAATTAAATAACAATTAAAATTCGAGGAGGGGGGAGGGGAGGGAGGGGCGTTTAATTCAAAGTGTTTAAGGTATTAAGTGAGTCGAATACACGCAAAGTGAGTGTAGATTTAACATTCTTATTGAGCTTATTTATTATATTATTATCATTAATAACGCGTTGTACATATAAATCGATAGTACATTATTCTAGTTTTTAATCGATAATATGATAAAGTAAACTATGATAGAGTTGAAGCGACCAACTCATTTATAGGATTGCTGACGGTCGGACGGTAAAAATCGACGATCGAGATGTTGCGCGTGAGATTGCGAGAAAAAAAATTTTTTTTTTTCCCCTTCTTTTTGTGTTATGTTCATTCTTCTCTGCGCGTGTCTTTCATTCGGCATTCGATGCGCATTGTCACCATGCCGCCACCACCACACTACGCCCCGCCACGCAACACCATACCGCACCACACCATACCGCGTTCCTGTTTTATGCCACATGTGAGATTCTCCTCGCACTTTGCACGTGTCAAATTATCGGCGGACAATTCGTCCATATTACGCAACAGAAAAAGAAAATGATGTTTTGAGACTATCGGTGATAATGTGTCAAAATAGTTGTATTTTGTATTATAAGAAGTATTTATTACATTACTAATGCATATTATTCCGATCATTATTGTCTGTCATTATTATCGCAATTGTTATTGTCCTACGATTATGTTATTCATACAATCTGTTTATAAGTGAATAGAAATATTAGAGAAAGCTCGTCACACTTTTGTTAAATTGTGTATCTACTTCTGCTTGCGCTTAACTTACAGAAAAGAATTTGTCTTGACTCTCTTTGAGGTTTTTTTTTTTTTTTTTTTTTATCATGTATGCATTGTTTAATCAAGCACGTTATATTAATAATTGTAATCATTGTTATTGTAAATTATGTCATAGTATTTTCTGCAGATTTGGCAAATACGAGACAACCATTTTACTAATATTCTAACTTTATTTGCAGTCCAGATTTATTATTTTACATTATATACTTATAGACGAGTGTCTCTGTTACATTATTTTTGAATTTGTATTATTTTACCGTTTCTCCAATAATGTTATTTGTTAATCGAATCAATAAAATTTATACCAAGACATCCAATCTACTACGTTTTCACAAAGTCAAGCGTCACTTGCGATCATTACAAATCTATCTTGTGCGAGAGAATCTTGCATCTGCGGAGAAAATTTCTTCTGATGTATATAGATATTCTTTTAAAAATTCGAGGAGCTGTAGATATATCCTACCCGAGTAATAAATACGCGAAATGAGGTAGTCGTTTTATTGCGAAAATTATTCGGTACGCACGATCGACGCATATACAAGTATACTTCGCGTACATTCGTGTATTCAGACACACTTACATATGCAACAACACAAACACATTCAATAAAGGCACGCGTAAACGTGCGAATGTACTAATAAAAGCATTAGATATATGTATATTAATTATATATATATATATATATTATATAAATATAATAGAGCAGACACATTAATACACTTATAATATAAAGAAAGGTACGTGACGATACATTATATATATATATATATATATATATATATATATATATATTATATAATATATAAT